ACCAGCATATGATAATAACCACAAACATCTAACCCTGACTCTGTGGCAAAAGTGTTTATAGCTGGAATAGAATCTACACAGCGTGTAGAATCTATTAATGCTATTATTAAAAAATATGTTGATTGTGGCACCTTGCTAAAAGAATTAGTTAATGTAATTGAACAAGAATTAGAGAAAGAAGTTTAGTATACTAGAATTAAGGATTACTATGGGTCTAATCCATCTGTTGGTCTTGCATCGACTTATAGCACTATATTCAAGGAGATTGATTCTATATTAAGAGATAATTTGGCACCTATTCTATTGTCTTTTCAAAGAGCTCAGATGAAACAGGCTTTATTGTATCAAGGAATCTTAATTTTAATTAATAAGGTTAAAGAGTGAGATGTTAATTATAATGACATAATTGAACGATTATATGATACACCTCAAATTCGTTTAGCTGAACTCATAATTGATATACCTTACGATGCAATTAAAGAACTTTGGGAGGTATCATATATAGCTTCTGATTCAATACCACATTATGTTGTTATACTTAACGACTCAACATTACTTTGTACTTGCATAAACATTATAAATCAAGGAATGTTATGTTGACACCAGTATTGTGTACTTATTCAATCTAATAATGCAACATTTCACATATCACTTTTACATACCCGTTGGTTTGAATTATCATCATCAAATATAACAAATTTTGTTACAGTTTCTAGAGGTGTAAAAAGTACCACATCTATACTATTGCATTATATGAACCAAGTAAGAACCTGTGATGTTTATATACCAGCTATTAGAAGTCACGTTAATAAGAAGGTTCAGTTTGGTACTGCAATGTCTGTGGCCAAAACTAGCATTCAAATCACAGTATCTGAGGGTGTCACTGAAGAATCAACTGGACTTTTAATGCAATTTATCATGAAGCATTGTCGTGATACGGGACTGGGTATAAAAGACATTTCATCATTTCCAAACATTATGCTACAAGAGTCCTTTACTGCCAAAGTTACAGAATCTATATCCACTACTAATGAAGTACAGAATCTATATCCAATCTCGTACCGGCATCTTCTACTATTACTCAAGGAATACGACAACCTTTGAGCAATCTTATTGAGGTTTCTAACCCAGAGTATCATAAACCAAGAGGGCGGCCTTCTAAACGACTTAAATCAGCTGTTGAAGAAGATTCAACATCTGTTAATAAGTCAGAGAATACTGTTCTTAAAATGTGTGGATATTGCTTCGGCAAAGGCCATAATATTCGTAGTTGCAAAAAATATAAATTTGATATGGGTAACAAAGAGAATTGTTAGTGGTAAGGTTAGAGTCAGGGTTAGATGTTTGTGGTTATTATCATATGCTGGTAGTTAAATCTAGAGGTTTTTAATTAGGGATTTGATGTTTGTTATTGAACGTCTTATTATTGATTACTGACAAATTGTTATTGATTGTGTTTTTTATTGATGTAGAATTTGCCAGGGTGGCGGGTTATATGATATACACTATTATATCAAGTAGCAGCAACAGTATTTAGTAATGTTATAATAGTATATATCATATCACTTCAGGATATCCTGGCTAATTCTTGAACATAATGGTTTGTTTGTCATTGTTTAACTTTTAGCTTCATTTAATAACCTTATTTGGTGGACAAACTATTTATTATTTGTTATACGTGATTTAATAATTGTATAGCATTTGTAGCTGTTTACTAATGCTTACATTTTAGTTATTGTACTGACAGTATAATGAAAATTTGCTATTGGTAAGTGGTCTTTTTGATATTGTAAGTTATAAAAATTACAAAGCTAAAGTATAAAAGCTTCAATTTTTAGATATTTACCATAGCAATAGGCAGCCTATAGTCAACTATGATAGTTTGTATGGGTTGGAATTAATTATATATGAATAGTCAAATCATGTCTATTATTACTTTGTATGTCAATTACTACAATAGTCAATGGTGTTAAGAATTAATTTATAGCTACTAACTAATATGCTAAAATTACTTGTGTTCTAATAATAAAGTTACAGTATTAAGTATACGAACAAGCATTGATTAATATAGTGTATTAATGTATTTGGTGCTTATATGTATATAGCTTCCCCAGTATCACTATCAAAGTTCACCCCATGTGACCAACGACAAAAATCGTTTATGTTAGATAAGAGTTAAGGCATAGTAAAATCATTCAAGAAAAATTTTTTGTTAGTTCAGAAAAGGTAGTTTATTATGCAAACTTTTGAGAAATAAGCGATTTTTGACAAAAGAGATCATGTTATATTACACCAAATTGTGTTCTGTTATTGACAATAATCACGTGCAGGCAGGGTTGGCAATGGAGCCAATGGAGCTGAATGATTACGTGAATGGAGCTCAAAAAACTAGTATCTATTGACTCTATTCAGAGCTCCATTGGCTCCATTCGCAGCTCCATTGGGCTCCATTGAGCTCCATTGCCAACCCTGTGTATAGGTAAGGCAATACTGAAAAAAATTAGGTATTAAAATTCTTAAAAGTTCGTTTAGATTAGGGTTAGGGTTTATGCTACGGTTAGAGTTTAAAGTTAGAGGAGCTTTAATAATAAAATCGCTCAAAGAAAACTTTTTGTTAGAGCACCAAAAGTGGTTTCTTATTCAGATTTTTGAGTTTTGACAAAGCGAACATTTGGTTTATTCTAATTGTATTACATTACACATGATCCTAAAATATGATTGGTTTGTAGTCACGTTTTGAAAAAATTTTGGTGTGATACTGATGTACATATGCCGATCACATAATCATATATTTTGTAATACCGGTGATGATCACCACTGGTAGTAAATAGCAAAATTCTTATAAAAATTTGGACTTGTATTAAGAGCAAAATTTTTTTTTAGCTTCAGGAATATATAAAATTTTAAAGGATCTTAAAAAATTTTTAATAAAAAAAATTTTTAAACAAAAACTTTAAAGTTTTATTACTCAAAAATTTATTAATAATTTTAAAAAATTTTTATAATAAAAGTTGTAAAATATATTTTTAAGAATATATTCTATAATAAATATATACTCTATATCATTAATAAATTATTATTTTATTTAAAAAATACTAAATACAATTAAATTTTCCAGGCAAATTTGTTTGGAATACAGTTTAAGAGATAGTTATTACAATATTTTTTTTATTACTTAGATTACTAGCTACTTTCAAATAAAACAACTCATAACTAGAACTATTCATAATAATAATTTAGTTTTTTATTTCTAATTGATCTCTTTCAATCATTTTTTCTCAAATGAATAATAAATAACTATTCTGAATTAACTTAAATTATAGTATTTATTAAATTTATACTATATGTTTAAATATAATCAAAATTATTATATACTAGTCTATATATAGATTATTTTTAGTTATTATTAATTCTACAATATAATTTAACTAACTATTTTGCTTTATTTATTTAAAATAAAAAATTTAACTTATATTTGCTAAGTATTTTTTTATAATATTAAAATTTTAATTTTGTTCTATAATTCTAAATATAATAACAACAATAATTTATAGCAACACTTATATTGATTCAACTAATAAAATTTTTTTTTGAATTCAGAATTTCAAATTAAAATTTTATATTAGAACTTCAATTCTTGAAGGTTCTCAAAAAATTTATCAATATTAATATTATTCTAAATAATATTAATAGTGGTTTAAAAATTACAAAAATAACAATATTTTAAATTATCTAATTTTTATATTTGATAGAATATTAAAATTTTTTTAAAGAATTTTTTTATTTTATAAATTTAAAAACTTTTTCTAAAATTTCGAATATATATCAAAGAACTGATATTCAAGATAAATATTTTTTACAGAATTTATTTTTTTTTATTTATATATTTTGAATAAATATAAAAATTAATAATATTATTATTAATTAGGCTAAAAATTATATATTAATTAAACAATATATATATTTAACAATAGTAATTACAGGATTAAATAAATTATTTTTTTACTCTATTGATATTTGTTTTGTATTGTTTTTAATCCTTATACAAATTTTATTTACTATAAATTGCATCAAAATAAATGATAGAAATATTAAAAAAATTAAATAAAAAATAAAAAATAGTACTATGTCTAAAGATATATAAATATATATTTTTTTGGCTTTATATTGTATAATGTAGTATAATATAGCATATACTATTATTCAATTATAGTATTCTATTAAAATCAAGAAGCAAGATTTATATTCAATCTTTCTTATCTCTAGACAGAAGTTTACTGTTTTATAATATTTTCAAATCTCATATTAGTTAGTCTGCTTTATACAGATAAGAAATTATTAATATACTAACCAATTAAAAACAATATAGCATATGTCTTAACCACTTTTAACAACTTACTATACTAACTATTTGCAGCAGATACTGCATTAATTTATCTTTGCCATCTTAGCCAAATTAACTTTCAAATAAAAAATTTACAACTATACTTATATACTAATATAATAAATTCAAATACTTTAGATAGCCAGATAAGTTTTGCTTAAAATCATTTTTTAACTAATATTTTTTTTAGCTACAATAATATACTGACTATTCACTACCAGAGCATATCTAATTGGGGTTATATCTATTCTCTTAATTACTTTACAAAGTAACAAGATAACTATATATACTTCTTACAAGCAAACTATAAATTATATTAAGTTAGTTACCATAAACTGCCATATAAAAGACTTGGGTCTTTTACATTCCACCAAAAAAGTTAATTAGTAAAAAAAAGAAAATAATTAGGAAAAATTGGGGGTGGGTCTGATATATAGGGGATCTTGTATATGGCAGTTTACGGAATTTAATACTTACATGACCTCAATCTTCTCATTCAGAAATACAATTACTAATCTCTTAAACAACTTACTAGATTTTAATTGTATAAAAAAATTTAACTATCAAGTTTATTTTTATAAACTATAGTGTAAACTACTACTTGTTTGAAAAACAATATAACTAGTTATATCTTCATAGCAGTACAAAATCTAGTTATTGCTATATATATTAGATAACAATAACTTTTATCTTATATAGAATAATATACTAGTAGAATACAAAATGCATTGATTTATTTATATTTACAAAATACAAGAAATACTGCTAAGTAGAATTCACTTAATAAAACAAATAGCTGGCAAGATATGCAACAGAAAATAAACTAGAACAGTACCCATCAATTTATTAACTACAACAATAAATCACATACTAGGTTTATATATTCCAAATTATCACTTAAGAAGAATTTTAAAATTAAATTTCTATTAGATAAGCTACCAACATTGCTTAATTTATACTACTGATACCCAAAGAAATATACAAGTCTAACTTGTAACAAATAACCCCAGATAATTAAAAACAACACTTATTAGCCAATTTGCTCAAAAAATCTATTATTTCTACATTAATTAATAATAGAAGTAGTTACAAAGTACAACTCAAAACAGAACACCCAGCTGCCAGACCTAGCAACACTAGAGCAAAGTTTTTTCATAAATAATACAGGCACATCTAACATTCTACTACTACAAGAATTAATTCCTGAGAATATCTAGACTATCACTTCAATCCCAATAATATATTTATCAAAATCTTGCACAAGATATCTACTAATGTATACAAACAAATATAGCCTGAATGCTGTAAAGATATTCACCAGAATAGACTTTTTACAGACCCAGACACTGCTATAACCCTGTCTTATCCTCTTACACACCACATTAGCACAATTAAATATAACAAATGGGAAAGACTTTTTTAAACAACTAACATATCTACATCATATATAGCTAAATTAAATCTAGTGGAGGCCAGGTAGCCCACTCTAGTAGAGCTTTGGGCTGAGGATAAAGTAGTCCTAGCTGTAGATCTCTGTAATAATCCATGTAATCTATTTAAATAATATAACACATAATTATTTAATAAAAACTGAGGCCAGACCTCATTCTTTAAAATAATAAAATAATAATAATAAAAAATTATTAACTGATACTACATCTTCTTAATATTATAAAATATAATATTTTATTAATTAAAATTATATAGTAGTTTCTATGTGCATTTTTAAATTTTAAAATGTTTACATTATATATATGACTTTATGTTTTGCATAATATAATGCACATAATGCAAAATGCCTATCTCTAACTATATCTAAATCGAATAAATTATCAAATAAAGTATCTGGTAAAGATAAAAAAAGGAATGATGATGATAGGTCTGATGCAGAAGAAGATAAATCCGAGTTATAATATAAATTTTTTTTGTTAA